TAAGAAAACCCTTGAATGTAGAAAAATTGGACCATTCAGCTTCACCTCTAAAGGTGACCGGATCAGCCACCAAACAACAAGGTTCCACCTGAAGAGTTCACATACATACTTTCCGGGTAGGTTTGCTTGAACAAAGCACTCGCAAAACGGAAGACCAACGAGTAAAACGCTCAAAATATTTTCAAATGGCAAATCAAGGAACGTGGTTAGTCCTGTCAAACTTGACGCCTAACATTCCTTTTCGCTAAAGGTGTAAACTTGTAGTTGTTCTTAGATTAAGACTTATCCACATGTCAATTAACCGGTTTTTCAAAACGCGTTATGAATGTGAGATCCAATTTATTAATGGCATGTATTAATGACGAGCCACATCAGTTGCATCCATCCCCGCGTGACAAGGGATCTCTTTGTACAAGGTTGTTACACCAAACCTAACGTAGCCTATGAAGATTGTATCAGAAAACACACATAAAACTGATTGTTGTTTTAGTTCGAAAAAATTCAAACACCAACTATGAAACCGGCAATGTCTTTTGCCTAACAGGTGGTTTATTGGTTTTCGGTAGAAGTCATTGAATGAAACAAACAAATTATTTGATGATAACGAATCGGCTCCCATCTCTAATGGGAAAAACAACTTATAATCCGTTATTTTCTTTCTTTCAGTAATGCGGAATACGCATCCACATAGCTAACTAGAATAGGAGAAGGTGCAAATAGTTATCTTTTATCAGTAGTTCCCATCCATGAATCACCACAATGGCATTGCATAGCTTCAAAAATGTCACCATTGTTTACGCGTTATCCACCAGGTCAGATGTTTTCGATATCGTTGCATCTAATCTGACGGGTTCATTTTTCAATTAACAGGAAATTGTTGAAGATAAAGCATTATCTTGGTCACCTTCGCACCAACATTCCCCTAAACATATTGGGTGTCTCAGACAGTGGGGCCAATCTCATTGATAGTTCAACTTTGAATGTAAATTAAAATGTGCTATAGGCATGATTTTGAGTAAGTAAGCTAGTATGAACTCAACAGTTGATAGTTTTCTGAACTTCTCTAAAAAAAGATGATATTTCCATACAGATCATTGACCTAGCTATCGCTGAGTGAAGAATCTAATCAGTTTCACGAAAAGGTCCGTTGGTTGAACAATTAAGAAACATCATTTTGCCGGGTGAAAAATAGCCAAGTACTGGTTTATAAATAGTCACTTATCATGATAGCATTTACCGTTGCTCCACACCAAGAAAAAAAATAATTAACCGAGGTAAAACTAATTTACTCATTCATAAACTGACCGAGATACTGGCTGACTGACTAACTGGATGAATGAACCACCGATTGACTGACTGACTGAATGAATGAATGAATGAGCGGTTGACTGATTTTGTATTTTTCTTTCGGTTAACGACCGAATAACAATAATTTATTCAGGAACGAACTAAATTGCTTTGTCAGTTTGATTCTGTTCATGGGACTTCTGCCTATCTGTTTTGTGCAACAACCGAATTCTTGTTAGCTATTCGTTTCAGGTTACTCATGGTTTATTCTCAGTAATGATCACTCATTCGTGAAATAGTTTGATTTGAAATAACAAATCAAATAGCGTCATGGGCTAGCATGGAAGTGATTCCCGCTCAATAAATTTCCCCTTTTCATCAACCTACCCACTTCCTGTAAATCACACCGAATTTGATCATTTTTTGAAACATCTAACCTTTGATTCATATCGTTTTGTGCAGCTGATTCTTCGATGGTCATTAATTGGTGGCACTTTGTTCGCTTTTTCAGTTACTATTTGAACAACTAGATCTAGCCTCATTTGAATCAGTAAAGCAATCTGCTCTGTCCTTGAGCTCGAAAGGACTCACGGTGAACTTCGTGGTCAATAATGCCGGTGTCCTGCTCACCAACCAACAAGCCGAAAAGGAGTTAACACCAGACGGTTTCAACTATCACCTGCAAGTGAACTTTCTTTCCCCGTTACTATTCACGCTATTACTTTTGCCTTTGCTACCCACGGACGGTTCGGCCCGAATAGTGTTCACCACCTCTGTCCTACGGCACTTGGCTCGCCTCGAGTCAAGAAATTTAACATCCTCCAGTGGAGGCTTGCTTGGTGCACGGACGTACGCACAGAGCAAGTTGCTGGCAACAGCTTGCTCTCGTCAGCTGGCCAAACATTTGAAGGCGAAGAATATCCGAGTAGTCAGTGTGGATCCGGGAATCGTAAGGACAAATCTAGTCCGTGAACCTGGTTGGATCTGGAATGTGAGTAACAGATATATATATATATATATATATATAT